AGGAGACACCCATTCCGAATTTTTCTACCTCACAGATGAAGCCGGCCTCCCTCGCCTTGTCAATCTCCTCTTTTACTACCACCAGTGTAGGAGGATTGATTTGTCGTTGCTTCTGTCGAATAGGGCGAGCTTTCTCCTCCAACTCAATGTGATGAGTTTCGAGTGTCACATGGTTCAAATCTTTGTAACTAAAGGCAAAGACATGGATATATTTGCGAAATATATCCAAAAATCTTGCGTTCTCCTCCATGGTAACATTTAGATCAAACTTGAGGATGGAAAATCTTCGACACACCTCCTCTCAATTTTGTCCGGATCTTTCTTCACCCCCGGTCTAGGAAGCAACTCCATGGCAGCAACCACTTGAACTTGTACATCATCATCTAAAGAGTCGTCTGACGATGTTTCTTGATCAGAATTTGACATGTCGGTGTCAACTTTTGAAAACGGCCACTCTCCTCACTCTTAGATTCCCAATATTCGTCGGTTGGTCTATCTGAGTTGGTAACGAAACTTCCTCCTACGGTCAAATGAACCTTCACTCGATGATTCTTGGGACCTATCCTCAGATAGCCCTTGTGCCGTCGATCAGTAGTCCTTACCGCCCTCAACCAAGGCCGTCCCAATAGCAAATCATAACTAGCTTCCTTGAGTACTTGGAAGAAAAGCAAGGTTTGCACTACTCTCACACTTACCACAACTTTGTCAATCACACCAAGTGGTTTTACCTTCTGTTTGTTGGCCATACCAACAATTATACTCGAAGGTCTGGAAAGTCGCATTCCCAACTTCATCAACAATCTTTCAGACATAGCATTTACAGCAGACCCACCATCTACTAGCACGTCTGAAACATCATGCCCATCGATCCTCACTTCGATCTTTGAGGCATGTGTACATACCTCCGAGGCAGCAGCATCCACCACCCCAACTCCCACATTATTCATGTGAGCCTTTCCCTTGGATCTTCGCTTCTTGATCCTCGTGGAGCTAAGTACTCCTCTCAGCTCCTTCTGTATGGCTGGATTTAAGGCAATGAGTTGGCCAACTGTGATATTGGACTTCTGACTTCCTACATCTTCCACCACGTCATACTTAGCTTAAGAAGATGAAATGGAAAAGTCATTCATGCCCAACTTCTTTCTTGGTACTCTTGGTTGACTAACTCCACTTGATCGTGTACTCCAACTTGGCATGTCCTCCATGGAAATTGACTCATCTGCAAATTGAGCACGTTTCTTTTCATGTGCAAGGATATCCACCTTCGACTTTGAGCTCTCACCTTTCTCAAAGGTGCATTGATGAGGAAATACATCAATGGATGTTACTCTCTTATGTGGAGAGAACTTCTCAGTTTTCTCCACATAGATCATCACCTTCTCGTTCTCTCCTTGTTTCAAGAAGGTGACCTCACACATCAGCTTTTCACAACTTTCATTGGGAAGAAAGTTTTTGATGAGGCTCTTCGTCAACGTCTCCCAAGTGTCCTCCTCCACATGTTCTCTCTTGTACTCCTGGTACCATTTGAGAGCATAATCCTCCAAGAAATCCGGCAAAAGCATAGCCCAATCAACCTTCTTCCTTTCATTGTTTCCTATGCAAGCCCTCTTGAAGTCCCTAACAAAAGCTTCTACATCCTCATTTTCCCTCCCATAAAACACCGAAAGCTTCCCCATTTCCAACTAACTATATTTTTTTATTGGAAATTTATATGAGACTCCCTAATAGAATACAAACAACACTAACGTCATCCTTGAGTAATTCATCAAATGAAACACTAAAGGAATTGGTTGCTCCAAGATAGCCAAAGCTCTCTCCTCCCCTAAGCATACAATGAGTCTTACCTTCATCATCATCTTCTCCATCATTCAAATGATGATCTCCATATTCAGTTGGAGCTTGAACCCGCTCAGGTCACTTTCTCCGTTTCAGCACTTAGCTTGCCGTCAAACCCTTCCACAAGTGATTCTAGAAGCGCCTTCACTCCGCTGCATTCGTGTCCCGCCGGTAGTCCAATCACTCCGCAATTGTCACAAAAGGTTGCACTTTGGGATTCATGTGGCGATGATGGTCCCAAGTGAAGTTTCAAATCTCCCAAGGTACTCTTGCTCGTCAATCTTCTATCCTTGTTCCGCAGGAAACAATTGACAACCTTATGTCGCTACTCTCCACAGTAAAAGCAAGTCTCACGTTTCACTCTTGGGGATTGACTAACTACTCTTTCTTCAAACTCCATCCTAAATTCTCTTGTATTGCAGTCTAGAGACACTATAACATCCAAGCCTTGAGGTACTTTGGATAACCTAACATTCAAACGCCCTTGATCACTCATTTTTCCATAAGGTGGAAACCACTCAAAAGGTATCTCCCATAAACGTTATCTACTAGGTCAAAACTGCGAATAAAGAAACCCAAAACTTTTGCTCTCTTATCTTGATTTTGTACCCCCTGAACTTCAAATCATCATAACTTCATTTCTAGACATGATCTCTCAGTGAAATTTTGACTCGCACGTAGGTGATCTTCCAATACACACGCGTAAAAAGTTTCAAAGGCTAACTTGAAATACAGAAAAAGTAATTTACTCTGTACAAACTTTACAGAGAGCAAACTTTTGGTACTCGTGAAAACCCCCTCCACTTCTAACTCTCATATCTTTCTGTTAACACATGATCTAGATCTGAAACAAAAATTTTATTTTCTTTATCTTCCACTTTTAAATCAATAAAAACTTTAAAAAATACCTTCAAAAATACTTTTTCGGTGTCTAATATCACTTTTCTCTCAAAAAGACATGTTTACGTCAACAAAACATACAAATCGCTTCTAGGCTATCATATTAGACTATTGGATAAACAAAAGTAATTTTGCTCTTAAGCACACTCTTCGCTCTTTTATTCCCCAATGTTAACACCAAGTGATCACTCATGGATACTTTCTCTCCAGCTAGAAATCGAATCCTAAACATTCCGCCTTCTAAATTGAGGTCCCGGCAACAGAACCAAAAATGCAACCTTCGGGGTGACTCTCACTCAGGTTTACTTTAGATGGCTTTTCGGTAGCTTATCATAATTCTAGAAGACTAGGATTTCACATCATACTCATAACCCAAACACCTTGTCACACAATCTCTCAAGGTATCACTCCAACTCATACACTCATCGACACTCCAAGGTATTGAAAATTCGTCAATCTTTCATATATGAAACAAGTCTCTACATATGAACTCTACAAACTTGCTTGAGAGTCTATTCACTATCTCTCTATATATACTACTTGAGAATTTACCATAGTAACAAATAGTAATTTCTATCTAACTTACTTTTACGAAGATAAACCATAGTAAAGTTGACTAGTTATCAACATGTGGCAACATGGTATTAGCAACCTAAACCTTCTAGATGTTTACTAATCTCTAGATTGAGGTGGCGACATGCCATTTGTGCTTTTCTAACTTCTAGAACTTATACTTTCCACTAAGTCAACATTAGACTTAGTCTAACCAATGGAGTATTATTTACTTTAGTCAAACTAATCAAAACTAAACATGAAGTTCAAAAGTATTTTTTCTTGAAATCTAGACTTTTGTACAAGAAAAAATAGAAGTGCTCACTCAAATCTTCTAGAACTTCTCTAGTTATTCTACCAAGTATAGATATCATAGCTAAACTAGCTAGACTTAGTCATAATTAGCTAGATTTAGTCATGATTATACTAACCATGAATAACTCTTTGGCTAATTCTAGTTTTATTTCAAACATACAATATCCGGTTTTATAGAGCTAGATAGATAGAGAGTAAATGAATTAGTTGAAAGAGACATGTAAGGAATTCGTGTGATTGTTTTGATTATTTGCCATGTCATTAATACATTAAGAATAAAATGTATAATGAAGATAAAATCTTATCTCATTGTATTTGTTCGAAAGATTTATATAATAAAAAATCTAACAACTCTAATTATCTATCATTTTAAACATTGTGTTATATCTTTAAATGACATACTCTTTAGATTCATAATGTTACATGCATATAAACATATTATTGTTTTATAGAATCATGATCGAATACCAAAAAAACCATATGAGATTATTGATTGATAGTGAACAAAGAAATCCACTAGTCGTGAAGCAATCATAAGATGTTGATACATTATTTAAGATTTATCACACAATTTGTTAACTTAATTAATTGTATAACATTGATTTACAGCCTTAATGAGATCAACACAAGATATTCTAAAAATTTGGTTAAGGTTACATATTAAAGTGAAAGAATTTTAAGAATATAATTAATATGTGTATTACCAACTAAAGTAGAATAATACATGTAGAGAAAAAAAGAAAACAAGAAAAACTTGAATAATTTATTCATTTGAGTAAATGTCTATTTTGTGTTAAAATTGAAAACATAATACATAAGTGTTGATGATTAGTGAAGTCTAAGATATTAATAATTTTTATTTAAAAAAAGAAAAATGAATGATATATAGTTTACAAAACTTCTGTTTGAATTAGTAAAAAATTATACCCAATTTAAATGGAAGTGATTATTGAAAACTAAATCTTCAACGCCTCACAACGTGAAGCAAGGATGACACAAATTCGTGGTTAATATAATGAAGAGAGAGACACATTTATTGCAAGAGGGGAAAAGTCGTCAAAAGTTCTAGACTCCACACCGTAAGAAATATATGAATCTTTCTTCTTGGTACAAAAGAACGCTCACAATGGGATAAATCGGACGGTTTTTAGAGCACAACAGTTTCCAGATCCATTGTGCTAAGATGCGGCATCAACGACCGGGAGCCCTTCCACACACGTTTCTTCCGCCCCAGAGAGAGCGATCGATGACGGGTATCTGTTCTAGAGGGATGGTCTTCTCTCTAACGTCAAGGGCAACGTCAAGTCTATCTCTCCGGTCCATATGCGGTTGCTGTCCGTTCATTGCCGCATGTGCCGCTGGGGGCTGTGGTCCGCAGACTGATTCCTGTTGGTGGGTGTCATTGTTACTTTATAGGAGATTTCGACAACTGCCGTTCGTCATTTGGTGCCAGGCCCTGCTCGTTTTCCTGTTCAAACTCAATAACGCTGCAGAGGCTACTTTTACCAAGCCCTAATGTTGTTGTTGGGCGGCCGGTGGCTCGGATTCCGAATATCTCACATTTGACGTACATCGTGGAATAATCTGAAACTTCTTGACCACCACACTTCTCCTTGTCCGTGTTCCCTTCGCCCCCCCCTCCCCGTTTCCCAATCCCCGCCCCGGACGAGGCAATAGCGCACGCACGAAGTGCTGCGCAGTTTTGAGTCGGTCTGAGTTTTGCGCCTGTGTGATGTCAGGAAAGTCGACGCGAGAGCGAGGAAGAGCGATTGCCTTAGAGTTCCAGGATTTGATGAGCTTGAAATTGTAAATCCGGATCTCGAGATGAGAGTAGAGGTCGGAGCTAGAGCTGGCCAACCGGAGGCGATGGTGCTCGCTACGAGGCTGTGGAAGGGAAGATGTTTGGACGCAACCTCAGGTCTCATCTTACGATAGTTGGGATCAGTCTGCACATCTATCTTCTTCAGTCTCTGACCGTGCAAGGTTGGTGTTCTTGGAGCAGCTTTGCAGTAAACGCCCCGGAGCGACTCTTCGAAGTCAGTTTGTTTTTCTGAACTTAGTTCTCGTGCGAACCGATATCTATAATGTTCGCTATGGCTAGTGACTCCGGGTTGTCTCATCCTTTCTCAATGGAGAGTGCTATGAACATGAAGCATCCTTTCGGGATTTCTCCGGAATCTAAGCCTCATCAAGAGTTGAAACCTCATAGACAAACTGTTATGATCGAGGACAGCAGGATGGCGATCGATACCTCTTCTCCGAAACCTTCCCAGATTAGAGGTGACAGCGAGACTGTCAGGAAAAAGTTGCGGGAGTCTTTGGTTTCCGCTCTGGAGATGGTGGTTGGTAAGCAGGTTGTCAAGAGCGTTTTGGGTGTAGGGAAAGACCTCACAGAAGAGGAGAAAGACGATAAATCGTCGTTGTCTGGTCAAGTGAAGCGTGAAAATGAAGAGGACCCTCCGTTGAACAAAGAGAACCAACCCGCTGTTGGTTCTGAGCCACACGGCATTAGCGCACACGACACGAAGGTCGATGATAGTCTGGGAGGTGATCAGACTGCGAATGGTGCCTCTTTGCAGAGCACCAGCCCCTCCGTCGTTAGCGATTCGAATGTGGAGATTAACGAGTCTCCATCGAAGAAAGCGAAGTGTTCCAAGGAGGATGGGAGTCAGATATCGGAGGAAACCAAAGGTGGTCTTCAGTTAATGGAGCAGGTAAAGCAAGTAGCGTGGGATATCGAGGCACATTTGTTTTCACACAATGGGGGAGTTAATAAGAAGTACAAGGAAAAAGCACGGTCTCTTCTGTTCAACTTGAAGGATAAAAGTAATCCGGAACTTCGGGCCCGCGTCTTCAGTGGGGAGATTACCCCACAGATTTTGGTTAGAATGACCGGGGAACAGCTTGCCTCCAAGGAGCTCTCACAGTGGAGAACTGCAAAGGCAGAAGCATTTGCTTCCATGGTGGTTCTTACTGACGCCGATGTTGATCCTCGACGGATTGTTAAAAAAACTCACAAAGGTGAGTTTCAAGTAATGAAAGAGGCAGATCTTTCACCCAGTGTCGATCCTATTGAGCCTAACACATCTTCCTTCCCTACAATGGTCAAGAAAAGCCAGGAGGATGGAGGGAAAGCAAACTTGTCCCCGGGTATTAATTCTAGATCGCAAGACTCGAAAAATAGCCAGAAAAAATCTCCATCTTCGAGCACGGACGAAAGACATGCTGAGAGGAGCTCCGACGGAGGAGCAGCAGTGGAAGGGACGGGCGGGGAGCTACCGACTATTATGTCTTTAGACGAGTACATTGACACCCGGGACGAGGCTCCGTTGCATAGATCGGAGTCCATACACACTATATCAGAGGGAAGAATCGAGAACAAAACGAGCGTCTCGATGAGAGAAAGCGTGACCTTGATAACCCCCACAGGATCACCCTCTCATATGCCTGAAAGCAACATTCATAAGAACAACAAGAGCCCAACCGTCAGGAACGCCGATATCGCTTCAAGCACAGTTATTTTGTCTAAGAAAAGAGACAGGGAAAGCTCAGGCCTTGTGTGGGAAGGTAGCGTGCAGTTGTCAGCCACCCGGTTTGCTCCTGTCGATGGAATCTTCAAAAGGTTCGTAGTTTCTACTCTCATGCGTCTCATTTGTACATATAACATCACCTTTGATTGTGAGGTGTTTTGAAACCCGGACATAACCTTTGTGTTCCACAGGAAACCGGTGAAGAGTGTGGATAGAGACTAGAAGAAACCCCCTTTTGTCTGACAGGAGTCTGGTGGCTATCTGACTAGATCTATTGCCGATTAGTGTTTTACTTACTTGTCAAGTATTGAGGTAGTAAATCTGAGTTTAAAGGAGTACACGATGAACACCAAGCATTCGAGAGAGGATTTGTTTCGAGGAAATTGTGGAATGGCATGTAGCTTAAATCTTTCGAATTCCAGTAGTTTTTCTGAGCTGTGGACAAAACAACTAAGCTTCAATTCAACTGATATTGCAAAGGCAGGCCTTTAAACTTTTTTATTATTGAACTGTGGGATCTTTCTTTGCTGTCAGTGGTGAGAGACTGGAGTTGAAAGATTGGCCGAAGTCTGTGGAGATCAAGGGTAGAGTTCGACTTGGGGCTCTTGATAAGTTTTTGCAAGATCTTCAACTGTCGCGCTCCCGAACGGTCACGGTATGTTATACCACTCAAGTGTATGTGATTTGGTTTCTTTTCGTTGTATACCTTCAGTCTCTTGCTTGTAACCATGTTGTATTTTCCGGGAAATTGCTTTTTGAGTGTGCTTTGGTGATACTTAAGTATGACTTGTCTTCGGTTTTCTCACATTTTTTTGGGTTAACTTCATCTTTATAATGGGACTCGTTATTTGGTGTTTGGTTTTACTTAAAATCTCCTATTTATCGGTTGAAAATGGGAGCATCGGGTATATTGCTTCGTCTATATATGAGAGCATGGGGTAGTTGGACCTGATCTATCTTGCTCTTTACGTCAGGAGGTCAAGTGGGGTACCCGGGATTCAGTCAAAACTTACTTAACTTTGTCAATGTCCGGGGTCAATGACTTCTGACGGGCCTTTTCAAGCTGTTAACAGTTTTTGCAGCCATGATGTAGTTTTGTTGATGAATCTGACTGAATAACTTACGTGGTTGGTCCTTTGGGACCGGGAAGTTTCACCTGATTGAAAGTGAGACAGGCTTGAAGATCAGCGATATCAGTCAGCTAATTTCTCACTCTTGTAAATGTTCCAACTTTTCGCACCACACTTTGTTTTAGCAATGACAGTGGCAAACTATGTCTTGGATATCTTGAATTAGACCTCAGTGAAGATATCTAGCTCAATCACTCGGTAGTCTTATGTGCTTTTGTTGAAGACTTGGAGAGAAGTAACTCCTGACGGGGCCTTTTGGGAGTCCCGACTTAGTGCGGTACACTAGGGTTTCTTTTCTTGTGATTTGTTGTTTTTGTGATGAGTAAAAAGATCAAGATTGATTATTGTCCATGATTGATTTCTGTCAATGCAAAGACAGGAGTATCTGTCTCAACTCGTATGATTTTTTCGCCTCCGTTATGTACAAGAAGCGTGTGTATTTCGTAGCTACTTTTCTTGACTTTTGGCTGTCTGGTTTTGAATATTAGTCATTTTCACGAAACCAGTAAGTTTTGCCAAATGCTGTGTCTCATCAAGCCCAAATTGGGTGACTTCGTGGTATATGAAGTGAACAGCGAGATCAGCTTGCCTTCCCTCTTCCCTGTGGAAGTTTGCCAAACGCGGATTACGTGTTAAGCATGGAGGTAACAGCCAAACATCGTGATTCTGGAGCTGGTTTATGTGCAACAAATCAGTTTATGATAGATGTGGAGCGTTTCCTCGCTCCGCTGTAGGCTGCCCCCAACATGACATCCTCGTTATTTAAGAATATGTTCCTTCTAACATCGGCTTCTCTGTGTAAACAGACATAAGCTCAACCCGTATACGGACCGGTGAGGTATCAAGATGCCTTCCTGTCGAAAACGGGCGGTTCTTTGGCCGAGAGGTTCAAACGCCGTAATCACAATCGGTATTCGCAATTGTTTTGTGAAGTATAGAGGCCTGTTTCGTCGGGAAAAGTGAACGTCAACCTCGAGCTCCAATAAACCAATTTCTTAGTTTACAGCACAAACTTCAATTGCACAAAGACTGGAGGAATGCGCAGCTGGAAAGACGATTCGTCAGTTTGAAGGCCTGCTACACATGTCGGAAATGACTTGATAATGGGACTCAGTCATTACTGGGTACTAAGATCGTCTGACGGATGGAATGTCTCACGCCAGGATATTCTAGTGTTCAAGCGAGTGTTGGCCTAAGGAGTAATTTATATTATTTCCTTTGATCGGCGAGTATGATTATTCGTTAAGACAAGAAACAGAATAGTCTCTATCTTCGCAAATCGAAAGATGGCAAAGATGACGCACAGGCTGTGGAACGAAAAAAATGTGTTAAAACGGACAATGTCAATTTCATGACGTTACTAATCTAAGATCTGCCACCCCTCTATCCCAAGCCTACATGTTTCGCCCCGAGGACGAGAATTCCACGTCAGATTTTAACAGCTGACCGAGGGACTTTTTTAAATCATGCATCTGATTACAGCAATAAGAATTCTGAATCAAGCGTCAGCGACATCAGCACAGTCATGAGAATACTCGTTGTCCGTAAGCACATGCCTACGAACGGAAGTTGAGCGGAGAGGTGTCTGGTCGAAAAACTGTAAAATGTCGACTGGAACTTCGGCCAGCAGCAAGAGGTTGTCATCCTCTGCCGAAGTACAGCCAGGCTCTCACGGACGATTGATGCAAGAGTTAGAGCGGAAAGCAATCCGGATCACCCCACAAAGGAAGGTCATGTATTCTGTGCATCCGATGAGAAGAGCTGTTGCCTGCTCAGATCTAAGTATACGCTGAGGTATAACTGAATTCAAAGTTGTTGCGAACTCCAGAACTAGATAGGTCTAGTACAAGCTTCACCTTGGAGCCCAGCTGTGGCAATAGACTGTGCGAGGAAATCATGTGCCAGTGGATTCCATATACACTCGCCAGAGTGCTTGCGTTGTCAGATTAAGGCTTGTTTGTAACCTGGGACTAGGCATTCTTTGACTACCTCCGGGGAATGTGGACTTCGAGATTCATTTGCCTGAACATTACTGATGAAGCCCGGTATGCGAGTTTGCTGTTTCATTTTTTCCCAGGATGATAAGAATATGCAGTCCTTGGTTTTATGTTTTGGTGATCGAAGTGTGCAACATGTTAATTATCTTATCATTGTGTAACACAGCAAACTCTTCTTTGAGTTCTTCTTACACCTTGAAGGCCATGCTTTGCAGTTACAAAGAGCTCAATTGTTGGATTTTCGTTTTAAGATAATAATGGCGATTTTCCGTATCCTTTTGCGTCGTAGTTACTTGTGAGCAGAATGTGAGGACAGGTTTAGAGAGGGAAAGAAGTATAGAATCATGATATTACACTAATTACTTTTCTCTTTTCCTGTCGTAAGGGATTATGATATGTGAAGCCTTCAAGAAATCAAACGTGGAAATTAATGACATGCGCAGGGATTTGTGTGTCAGAGTCCCGAATTGTAAGGTCCGGTATATATATTAGCGTATGGACTGCATGTAGTGGGCTACTTTCGCTGGCTATATATTGGGAGAAGGTAGCGATGAAGGGTTTTATATAAAACGGTCTCTCTTCTTGACATTCATTCCCTCTGACATGGTATTCAGGCATTAGTTATTCACTTTTATGTCAGGGAAACAGTCACGGATATATCTTTGACCTTGGTATCGCTATGATGTATGGCACTCAATAAGAGACGCTTACCCTCAAAATAAGTCGACTCTTGGAAAACAGCTGGCAGTCTTTTCCATTGCTACTGAGACCATCTTCTTAGTTTAATACCCTGGTAGTACTTCTCGCTCGTATTCGACATTGTTAAAGCTAGGCTTGTTTCGGGTTTGGAACTATTTGTGGTTGTCATTGGCTGAAGAGTCTCTTTGTTCGCTTTTACGTATCACACTTGCACTCGTTGTTTCCTGATTTCTCCACTTGTTATCATAGTACTGTGACTAAATTGTTTCAAATGTCTTTCCTTGAATCTGATGAAGAGACTAGAGACGTCGTCTCTCACGAAACTAGAGTGAATTATGTACTCCACTATCCACGTTGGTTTTAATGACTTCCAAAAACATACGTAGTTAGCATACTTTAGAACTTTTAAAGTGTTTTCCTTGAGCTGTGCAAGTTATGAACTTCTGAGTGGATTGACAAGTGTAGAGATAGACTATACTTTCGAGAACGTCTAGCATGTGGCCGCGAAAAATCAGACGGGTTGCAGTGAAGCATATGCTTCTGAGAAGGTTTAAAGTTCTTGTTGCTTTAGTTTTTGGTGCTTTTCTTGTTTGATAGCGCGTCCGCTGTACATCCAGTTCATATTGGTTTTAGTAAATCATTTGGTATCAGTGGACTGTTTGTATCCAACTCTGGTAAAGACGTTTAGGCGCTGATTCTCTCTATAAAGCTAATGATATCGTTGATAGCGCGTTCGTTGTACATCCAGTTCATATTGGTTTCAGTAATCAATTGGTTTCAGTGGACTGTTTGTATCCAACCGTGGTAAAGACGTTTAGCCGCTGGTTCTCTCTATAAAGCTAATAATATTTCAGGTTGAAGGTTGAGCATAAAATTGTGCAATGGGTCCCATGAAGTTGTCGTGAAGTGGTGGTGCCTTGACGTCGCGCGCCTCTTTGTTTGACTTCTGTATGTATTTTGGTTTTGTTTATGTATATTTTTACCATAGAGCAAACGCTTCTCTCTCATGCAATAAGTTCATATTGAGCTTATCTTCCACTGTTAATACCTTTTCTGTATTCAAGCCTCCATACTTGGACGTATCACATCTCGTATTTCCACACTTCCCTTATTGAGTCCATAATTGGGTTAAACTTGGTGAATAATCCGTGAGGTCGGCCACTGTATTAGTAATATGCTGATTTGAAAGAAATGGTTAGTTGCTTTTGAATCTGTATGTATATTTTTCTTCTCTATGAGCTGTTTCCACCAGTTCCGTTGGACAGTATTTCACTTATGTATAATCTGCGTAGCTTAGGTGTCTAGATCAACGTGTCAGGGCAGGGGTAAGGAGTTAAGAAATCTCTTCCCATTCTGACTGAGTAGGATCATTGCTTTCAGAGGCTTAACTTCAATAAAAAAATAAAACATTTGTTTGCAGATCGATGTGATTCCTAGAATGTAAGGTTTGTTTTCACAAAGAAATGTGATAAATAGGTACAAATACGCCCCATATTGATAAGAACGGTAAGGCGACTTCATGAAGAATGTGTACGAGGAGTAATTGTTACAATTAGAGTTCTTTTTTATAGCTCTCTCTCTTCCTCTTCCTCTTCCTCATCCGTTATTCTACTATCGGTCAGCCAAGGGGCAGGGCCTTCTGGCTGTGGCACGCAAATAACCTTGAGTAAAGCATTGGAAAGAAGGTCTTGTAATTGAGGTTTAATATTCTCAATTCTGGTACTTGTTCTGTATGTGTTTCGAAGAGATGGACATTGTCAAGGCGTACATATATCTGGTCAGTCCATGGCACCGAATTGTTGTTCTTTTGTGCATCCTTTTAGCTGTTTTATCGGGGGTGCCTTGCCTTATTTCTTCGTGTTCATTAAATCCGGAGTCTTAGGTATTTCCGGTCTTCGATCTTTCGTTTAAAGTTCTAGACTTTGTACTCCCACTTACTTTACTGTCAGAAAATTCTACTCGAACGTTGGTAAGTGCCTAGTTCTAAAAAGTAACCGAGTTTTTGTATCACTTCCTCCTTGACCGCATGTTTTTTTCGTTCACTGGTTGTTTGACATGGAGGTAGTTTGATTAACGTAATGTATCTCATTCCGCTAAGGTTAAACCACCTGACTCTGCTCCTGTGGTTGGGGAATATGTGCAGTTTATAATTCATGAATCCAATTTCTCCGATTGCTTATATGACAGTTTGACTCACAGACCTTACGCACAGCAGAAAATCTTATGGATGCATCTTTTGAGTTAATGTTCACGTCTCTTTCCTATACAGGTTATGTCGCTATGTCCATCTGATCGTCAGGGCGCTGATTTGAAGCAAGTTCGAGCCTACTTGAGAGAGGTATATACAAGTCCAGCCTTGTCTAGAATTTCCATTACACCAAACCTCATGATGATCCCGATGTCTGGTTTTCAAGTCCGTTGTGTACAAAGTACTGTGTACATTAGTTTTAAGGATGATCAACTGAGCTTCCTCAATTGGACCTGTATGAAAAGATACCAGTTAACTAGTGAAAACAAGTAGTTCTGTCGCCTCTTTCTATTGTAGTCAACCAGCGGAAATTATCCGTACAGTGCAGAGTGCTATTTAATTAATTTCTGTGGCAAGAGAATCAATTTGTATGTTTGAGTTACATCTCTCCTGTTTCTGCAAATTTGGTATCAAATAGGGTGATTTTAGGATTCGACTTTCTTGCATGCCGATCCTATTTTTTATACGTCTAAACCATATCATCGATGATCCTCGTTATCTCTTACTGCTCAGTTACGGCCCACCAGTGAAATGGGCCGTGTAGTATCCATCTCCCCTTGGCGTTCGCTATGATAGTAAATTGGTTTACAGAAATGAGAAATAGATACCATTCGAGAGTTGTCAGATTTAATCCATTGCTGCAATGCTCTTTGAGGGTGGTGCTTAGAACTTAAGATTCGTACTTTTGATGTGAATTTGAGATCAAGTGCAGTTATTTATGATGTCTGACGGACTGTGGTTCTCTCGCGCCTTTCAGAAACGTTTGCCTGTGATATCGTCTTTAATAGATACCTACAGGAACAGACTTATGAATGTTTAGCAGGGGATTCTGCTCTGCTATCTCCTCAAGTACTAATGGATTGGAGGTTTTTTAACAATGATGTTCTTACCTCGAGGAGCCACGTTCTTTTAACTGCAGATGGCAGATCAGTACCGCATGGGAGACAGAGCAGGATTTGTGGAGCCGGCACCAGGGTTCGAGCTGTATCTGCTGGCCCCAGGATGTGCTTCTCTCGATGTTTTGGGTGACCTACCGTCTTCCACCAGTCCGAACGTGGAGAGGGATGACGAAGTCTTAGTTGGTGTGGTGGTGTGGCGTAGAAACCAGTCTCAAGGAGTACCATCCGCTAGGGGACCTGACCAACAAATTGGTAGTTTAAAGAAAGTATCGATGTCAAATCAGGTCTCTGAGTCTCCCACTAAAGTTAATACCACACCCATGCACTGGACAGAGATTCCAAGTTCAGGGGGAGCGTTGCCTACATCTCTTAAGACAGCATCTGCTCATGTTAATGTAAGTGGAAATTCATCAATGCATTCTACTCAGTCTCGTGGTGACACCTCCGCTCTACGTGATCCCTCGCTGCGTAGGGAGTGGCCTCCGGCAAGTGGTCTTCAACTTTCACCTATAGGGGTCCCTGCGACTAGGGTCACTGAAAACGGTCACGGTGCCATGACAGATTCTCTATATCTACCTCATCAGTCAGTTGAACTAGAAGATGTCCCCCCAGGGTTTCTACCAAGACCCTTGACAACCTTCCCCCAGGGCAGACCCGCCGGTGCTAACACAGATTCGAAGGAACGCGTGCCGGTTATACAACCTCCTTATGTGGGTGGTGTTCCCGGTCCTTCTTCTCTTTTGCCCGATAGAGGTCGGGAGACCACCGAAGCTCCCCCAGGGTTTTGGCCCAGATCACAAGTGAAAGGGCTTCCTGTTATCAGTCAGAGAATCCACACTTCTTCTCTCGATGATGATGACGATGATCTTCCGGAATTCAATTTCGAAGCTGAAGGAGTCATGGCGCCACAGATCACTACGAATGTCTTGCCTAACCAATCGCAGTTTCTATCTTCTCAAAATCCTAGTGCTCCCCCTTCTCAGACTCCCTTGCACCTGGCTAATTTGCACGTTAGCGAATCTGTTAGGTTTCAGAGTCACATAAATACCCTTCCTTCTCCCATGGAGTTCCAGTCTGTTCCTCCCGGGCTACCTCCGTCCAGACACATGCCACTTCAAGAAGAGTCATTTGTCCCCAGACCTTCTCTCCACCATGGTCCTATTCTTGATGGATGGAAGAGCAGTGATATCAGAAGTAGAGAGAGCGTGCAGCAGACTGTGCACCACGAAGTCGCCAGACCTTTGGCAGTACAGAATTCAGATTCCAGGAACCTGTCGTTGAGAGGTGCTAGGGACGAGTTGGTACATAGAGAAGAAGAGTTCCGCCATTATGGCCATGATTCGCAGCAGAGGGGACTGAACTCCAGTCATGAGCAACAGAGAAGTTTTGGTGCAGCAACTCCTGGACCGCTTGGTGTCAAGACCGCCGTTAGAACGTATTTTGGCACCGGAGTACGGGAAACTTTGACGCCGGCTTCTAGAAACGATCTGCCTGAGTGGTGTCCCCCTTCTGTCTCCAATGTGCAACCTGTCCAGCGTGCTTCTATTTCATCCCCTCTGAGTTACGATTCAGCGTTGCATATTCGGCAGCAGCCACCTCCGCCTGTTCACATGGGTGTGCAACAACATACTGTTTCGAAGAGCACCGTTGTTCCCAACTGGGTGAGGGGTCCTGCCCCTCAACAACCAGAAACTCGCTATGACTACAGCAGGCAGGTCTCAGCCGGCATCACTGCATCCAAGTGGCAGCTTAACTCTTCACAGATTCATCATAACAGCAGGTCTTTACATCCTTCTAGAAAGATGGAGACTCGGGAAAAGGAGCGCGTCATTGAACATAGCGTGAAAGATTCTGATAGAAGGCGCGGAGGTAGGGATCGGAGTCGAGTGAGAGAACGCAGCAGGGAGAGGAGTATGAGTCCAACTCCCGAAAGAGAGAGGGAAAAAGCCTTTGAGAGGCGGCAAAGTAGGAGCCCTACTCCTCTCAAAGAACGAAGTCCCCAAAGTAAGGAATCGAGAAACGATTACCTCAGCGATCAGAAAGAAGTCAAGGCTCCCAAAAGGGAGAGGGAGCGAGATCAGTAAGATCGGGAGATACATGTCGGTAGGTATGGTAGTAATGATCTGTGTAAAGTATGATGATGTAAATTTAATCTAGTTAGGATCATATATTATTACATCACTCTAAATTAGACTAGCAGGTGGATTCCAGCCGGTGTAGAGTGCCTTAGGATAGAATAGTTGGCAGAAGGAGGAGAAGATTCTGTCATTGTACTCACTGACCCATGTGCAGGGTCTGAGACCTTGATTTACAAAGTTCTGTTCGTGCAATGATATGTAACCTCCCAAACATTCGTTCTCTGTTGGTCTCTTCAAACCGAATGTGACCTAGCTGGGTACACATTTTTCTCTCTTTCGAATGATATTGCAAGTATCAATTGAGCTGAATTTAATTGACACTCTTGGTACACGGAAGGCTGCCGCTTCGCGTATGGTTTGGGTAAATCAGAGTTCTAGTTGCGAACAACTGAGATTCTCGACGTCCGATCGGTCTTAAACACCTGGCACTGGGGCTTGAGTTCGACACATTGTGGCAAGCATATCCTCGAGTCCAAGTCAGATGAATACTGTCCCTGGATCCGTCTCCAGTGGCAACGTTTGCAATATATTACCCAAAATGCACGACTTATACAAAGGAGATGGTTGTTGAAGAGTGCTGACCGTCTGCATTACTCCCTGCCTGGAGAGCGTGCCATATGAAGTGCCTGCTTCTACGATACCAATGATTAGGAAGTCGAACAAGGGCAAAGTTTTCGGATGGTATAAGAAACAGGTCATGAAACACGCAACGACTCCTTAGGATTGAAGCAGAGTCACCTTCAATTGTAAGATATACTGTAAGAATGTTTTTACCATATGTATTGGAGTGTAAATGTGCGCGAAGTGATAAGAGAGCATACACCTTGTGGCTTTTGATAGAGCAAGGGACCTGCTGCTAAGAGTAGGTTCACTCGAAGGAGCCCAAAGCATGCATGGTTCTTTTTGAAAACTTTTGGGTCTGTCCAACCACTCGCATATAACGAATAAAAGTTAAACGACATAATTCTTTGCTTTCCTCTACCAGCTTTAATTTTCTGGACCACAGCTTCTGAGGATGTGAGGCTTTTCACTTGTAACTTATTGATAAGATACGAGGTACTGAATTTGCTCATATGACTAAATGGCCATGTACTCATCTACTTTCAACTGTTTAATCGAAATATATCGCATTCTTTGCATTTAGATTCATTGTTGTCCACCTTGTTTGATAGATATAAGAGTAGTATATACGTATGGGGGCACTATACATTCATGAAGGTAGTCTATCTTTATTTATTTAATGGTGGGTACGTAAGCTACTTGGTATATGCTGAATTCCATATTTTTGATCAATTAATTTATATAAATTTTGATTTTTTAATTAATGTATGGATATTTTATTATTACCAAAAATTTTTTGAATGAAAAAATTGAATAAAAGTAATGCAAGTATAACGAAAATTAAAACATAATATCTACATAAAACTTTTCCAATGCTACAAACCAAAAAAAAGTGTAAAATTTTAATAAATTATGACATTAAGTGCTATAATTGAAACTTCTTCTATGGTTCTAGGCTAATTTAAATCCAATTAACTAAACTCATGTAACTTGAATTAATCAAATCCGAAAGTAATTATTATTTTTAATCATAATTCATGTCTTGGCATTCATAAACTCTATAAGCAATATAATTATACTACTAAAAGTCATAAAGGAAAATATGATATAGAGATCTTTGTAAACTAAACCTAATCAAAATTAGATTATAACCAGGATTGTAATTAGTGAAGTACATGAGTAGAATTTTCAAAATATAGAAATGTTTTTCATAGATATCAAATTATATGTATTTCGCTAACATAAGATACCATAGTTCAGTTTTGCACTTTTAAGACTATTTAAGTCTCTTAAATAGGTATTGAGGTTGAAACAGCGCTATTTCACTCAAAACAACTCTTAACTCTTACTTTTTTATATTGCATCTTGTGATACTCAATCCTCTGAAGTCGTTGAAGTTTGTTGTCAATTTTGTGTATGTTTTAGACAAGAAGTATTAATTTAAAAATCGTCAACATCTTGGATCATTTGAAAGTATTCCTTTCAGAATCAATAACTACACGCTACATCTTGGTATCAACCACCAAGTTAGACGGAAGAATATCAAAAGCTCTCATAAAAAAAAGTCAAAGTATTTTGATGTTTATATTAAACATGTTGCAACTATCTATAATTATATAAAAAGTTAATCCGCCATAACAACTTTTGTCATCAAAGTTTGATTATTGGCGAAATGATCCGTCATGAAAGCGTTAATATGTTCAATCTTTCACAAATGCAATGTCATTTTTCTAAACCAATTGAAAATGACAATTATTACATACAAATTAGCTAAACAAAGCAGTTCGAGTTGGTAATGTGTTTTGTTGATAGAGCAACATCTTTTTCATGGTTGTTAATGCATTTCATAATAATCGAAAGAGGTATGTGATATTTCCAAACTGGGATTTTGTAGTGAGTTTCTCATTGCTTTCTATGTTGGAATTGCATATGCAATATTAGTTGAAAACATTGCAATCCAAATGAGACTTTTTTTTGGCCTTTGATGCATCTTGTGATCTGCAAGTAGTATATCGGATTGATGGCAGAACTTGATTTTATGAAAAATCAATCTTTGAGAGTCTTCATCTTATTACAATTAAAATTTTCAGATCTATATACTAAATTGATCTTTCGGGATGTTTTTAAAATTTTTTGTTACAGAAAAAAATTTTAGTTGGATGTTCAACCAATGGTGCTACTTTTATGAACAGACATTTATGTGAAGTTATCACGGTGATTCAAGAAATCGTCAGATCATATTTTATTTCTGTTTTGGATTTGTTACATCAAATTGATATCGTCATGCAAAAATATTACAAAAGCATTGATTGTTAATTTCCTCATGATTTACTTTCTACGAAATTAGGAGATTCGAATGGACAAAATGCAAGTAGTGTTCCCAGATTTGTATGCTACCTGTTGGACCTTGATGTTGTTAGGTTCGTCTGCGTCTTGTTAATTGTATTTAGGCTTGGCCTCTAGTTAAGATTTGAGATACTTAACTTTAGAATGATCACGTTTCAATTTAGTCTCACATGTACACATGCAGGAAGAGATAATGAAGAGCTAAACTATGGAGGCATGATGTAAAATTCTCGCTTTAGTGAAGCTTTTATCTCGGTCGTGGAAGTAACTCCATGTGAAAAAGAACCACATATATCGGTGTGTGATTTTTGTTCGTGATTCTCGGTGTATGATTATTGTACACATGTCGCGCGTATCACAATTTTCTGTCAAAAAATATATAAAATCATGATTTGTTTTGATATGAATGATGTTTCTTGACGAGTTCATGAGATGCCCACATCTTGATGGATTTTGGTTGCAATCATAAGTGAAATTTCAGACCATGTCAGCAAATGTGTTGAAAGTTTGCAAGCACAAAAAATCACATTGCAGTAGTAATAGTCAATCTTGTTTGGTTACCTTACATCGCTTTGCATTTATTAGAATGTGTTATCGACAAATTTAAATCAATACTAGTAAACAACATCGTTATATTTGAGCAATGGCAGGTGAATCATGCCAATTTGATCCGATTAAATCAAGATCAGGAACTCTTTGCTACTCAATTCTTGGCAAAACTCGATACACATTCAAGACTTAAAGTTTTGTATGCGGTTGATATTTTTTTTGGCAACAATCTACAATTTGAGCCACACAATATGATGTTAATCAGACAAGTTCCAAAATTTTGTCTCCTTTTTTATCTCAAGAACTTATAGCATTCAAAATAAGAGATGTTGTTCAAAAACTTTTGAATATTCAAGATCGTTTGTCAATTTTTTGGCAACAAAACTCCATTGATCAAATAGTGGAACAACACAAAAAACTTTGAATTTCCATGAATCGTGAACATTGATTTTGCAATGCCTCAAAACGAGTGACAGAATAATCTGACTTCAGCGAAACTTGGAGCATTCTATTTTTTTAAGAGAAGTTTTGTTCACTTATTTGGTTCTTTAGAGTTTTAGTTTCTCCAGTTTCAAACACTACCATTGTTTCAAGTACTTTTTCAATGCTAAAATGAAACAAGTATCTTTATAGATAAAAAATAACACCAATATACTTTGAAGAACATTGGTTTTATTTTTTATTTTTTATTATAATACATAAACATCTGTATGTATGGTTTTTTGTATTTAGTAGTAGTACTATTCTGAATTAAGTAATAGTATTTAGTAGCAATGGTGTTATTTTTGTACACCAACATGATATTATAATACATAACACCAACATTGCTACTAAATACTACTACTTAATTCAGAATATTAATACTACTAATTCGTAAGTTATTGAAGAAAATATAAAAGATTTCTACTAAACTATATGTATTCCGTATTTTGCTTTGATGACAATCTTTATATTGTAGTAATATGGAAGATGTTTTATATAAAAAGACATGTACATGAGTATGCTAATGACTTTGATCCTTGGATTTAATTAATATATTTCTAGCCTCAATAGCCATGATTGTACATTAAGATGCAGAAAATTTAAATTATCATTTCAAAAAAATTAAAAAGCTATATAATGTTTTAACTGTTTATCACATATTAGATTAACTTGCTTGATTTAGACATGGTTTTTTTTCACATATTTAAGAATACATTTGAATTTGTCAAAATTATTTATCTTGAATGTAGATGTTTGATTGATTTGACATTTGTTAGCATAGCTCTTTTGACAAGGTGAGCATATAATTTATAGAAAGTATTAGAATAAAAGACAATAGCATATGTTGCGATCCACAGTTTTTTGCAAACTGGTCACAAGCGTGACAAAGGTGAATAATTTTAAAAAAATTCCACATGAGAAAAATATTCATGTAGATTTTGCTACCAGCAATTCTTCTAAATATCAAACTTTAGGCTCGTCACGTTATGAGGAGAGTCTGAAAATTATTTTCTGTTTGTTAAGTCATATTTGACCGTAAGGACGTGCTCAATGTCAAAGGATTCAAGAAGAACGGAAAAGCAATTTCAATACACCTTTACATACAAGATAATTTTTACTGTTGCCAAATTGATGTTTGCGGATGAGTTTTATTCTTGATAATCTAAATATTCTCTACGATCATATGCAACGATGACTTTACACCACGTTGATCAACTATGACACTGCAATGTCATATGACATAGATCAATAAAGCGTACAAGTAACAACAGTATGGTTTCATTTTGTGAGTTGAATTAACATTGTTGATCATGAACAGTCTATCAACTATGCCGTTAATTTCTTCTTCACAAGATCACAAGTGACAGCAGTATGTTTTCATTTTATGAGTTGAATTAACTTTGTTGATTATGAACAGTCTATCAACTATGACGTCAATTTGTTCTTCACAAGATCACAATTTATGCGTCCATACATCGTCCGTTTTGTTCTTAAATTTAAATCTTTGCTTTCAAGGTAATTCCGCTTGCAACTAACGATGATTTTTCCACAATCAAAGCCTTCGCCTGCTTAAACGATTGGAAATTTACAACCAGATCACTTTGATGTTGATTCTTGATACAACAAATGCACACACTTCAAGAATCAACACACATCAATTGTCTGATTCATCTTTGCTACGTACACGAAAGCACAAACTTATGACTTTTCAGTGAATGCTTTTTGTGCATAGTAGTAGCTGGGACAAGCTTTCATGTAGAGGATCAAGCTAACCTTAATCAATCTAACTAGGATTACTGTAACTTGAATTGACAAGATCCATGTTTAGTTTTAATCAAGACGTGATACGCTTACACATGTATGATATTTACCATATTTACTCGTGGATTATGTTAAACATGGAAAAAATAAAATGTTTCAGTACTTAACTATGGAGTTTGTTTCATTTTTTAAAAGTTCCTATAAGAGAGTTCGGATGCAAAAATTTCAATTTATGTTGGTCAAGTTTATCTTCTCGTGTTTTCCTCCTTGTGTAATGAAAATAAAACCTAATAAAGTTAGTGAACACATTAAAAGTCATAACCAAATACTGCTAAAATTCATTGTGTATTCTAATGCATTAGACCCCATCAAGGAATGGAGCCACTGCATGAAAAATACTAATCTATTTGATGCTGATCGAATATTTCTAAGTAATGGATATGCTCCGGTGTGGCAGTAAACTTATGAACCCCTTCATACCCTGGATTGAAACCTGGGGAATTCGCATGTGCCTTCTATCCAAGCATTGGGCCACGGCCGAGGTGGCCGACCGGTCACGCTGACCAAGATTCTAGGGCGAGAGGGTGAAGATTCTACTGCGTTGCTTTAACATTACATGGCGAGCAGTTATGACATCTCTTCGATGGCTCCCATCGAAATGGGGCGCTGATTTTGAAAAAACTCGAACACAAACCGCGGGGAGAATATTCCATCGCCGATAGGGTGCACAGCGTGGACTCTGCGACTGTGCACCGGAGGGCAGGCAGGGGAAGGGCAGGGCGTTAGGAATGTGACTCGGTCGGTCAAAAGGAGAAGAGAGAGACGGGGACACGTCAGCAACGGAGGCTTAATAAATTGTGGATTCCCCGCAGCGGCGGACCGGAGGGTAAAAGCGAAGACCTGGATTCCGGGACGAAAGAGTCCACTCGAGGGGAACTTCGGACGTTAGAGCTGGTTGGGAGGACCGGAATGAGGATCGTATGGCGGGTCAATCGTTCAGGTGAGGCATATGATATGGCCCCTGCGGGGTGGGGGCCCAGGCTCGAGCATTTGCTATTTGTAAACGATGACAGCTACATGTCAAGCGCACCAGCGCTTCTGCGACACACTGTGCGGAGTGTTGGTTTGTGTGTGTTCCGGTAGAGTCCACGCCATGCCATGAAGGCCATCATCAATCACATGGAGCGACTCCAGATTCCACGGGAGATGAGACGGGGCCGGGGGGATATAATGGAACAGGGTTGGCCACCCCAGCAGTGGCTCAGTCATGATTCTGTTGGCAAGGGCACGAGGGGATATGTCCGGAGCCCCCATTGTGTTTCAAGCTTTCGTTGCCGTGGAACAAGAAAGGACAGAGACAGCGAGTTCCCGGATCGCTCGTGTCCGTCTTTAGATCGAGAGGCCGGAGGGAGGGAGGGAGGGAGGGAGAGAGGGAGAGAGGCAGTGTGAATTGGCATGGGCGTCCGAGGGAGGTGGAGTGCATAGATGCCGACTTCTCGCAGCAAGGGGGTGGCAGCTGCAGGAAGTCTGGAGTACAATGCGCTGAGCACAAGTCGTTAAAATCGAATAAGAAGCGGGCCAAAACCTCGCGTGCTTGCCTCACCCACTTTCTGTGGTGCTACACTAAAAATGGTCATACCCGGTTTCGTTGCCTGGCAAGATGGACCTTGAGCTGTCTGTTCTATCATGCCCTCGGCCCCCTCCCATCCCGCTTCCGTCCTCTCGCTAAAGTTATATGGATGGGCCAGAAGCAGAGAGAGAGAGTGAAGAGGAGGAGTTATTCTTGATCTGAATCGCTTTCAGAATCCGGAAGATACGATCCACCTCTCTGGCCTCGGGGCTTATCGAAAAAAGACCCAAAAAATCGAATTATTCAGCCCTCCGAGAGCAGGTCGGTGGATCGGAACTCTCGTTCCTTTCTGACAATTCAACTTTGAAATCTTCCGCCAGAGAAGGAAGGAGAGAAAGAGAGAGGACGAAGGGAGACACTCGTGCGGTTGCGAAGCTGTGCCGAGCTGACCGACTGGTGAATGTCCCTGATTGGAATCACGGTGACCGAAGAAGTGAAGCCACCTTAGGCATCTGGAGGCCGGGGCCAGAGATTTCATCGAGACGAAATCTTCCTCCGGTCCGGATGGACACGTGAATGACTGACTGCATTGCAATGAGTTGCATATGATATAGCATGGGCAGCAGGAAAGATACCGAAATTTGATTGCGTCCAGGATGTCACCCGAAAGACCATCTCATAGAAGCAACTGTTAGGCTACAACACAAATTCAGCTATTTCTCCGTTTTCTGGCGTGATTAGCTTCCTGAACGAATTTCGGGGTCCAGCAGGCCTCGCGAGGCCAGACCGAGCCAATAAAGAAACCAGTAAATTAATTCCAGGGACCGACCGAGTCATTAGTGGTACCCGACGACTTCACCCACTCGGAGAAATCGAGCTCGAGTGCAGGATTGAGGATAGCAAGGAGTCCAGCGATGGGCGAGGAGAAGGATGTACAGGGCGTGGCGGAGGCAGGTACTCCAAAAGCAGGTCTGAAGGAGGAGTCGACCGTGAAGGATTCTTACGATGCCGTGTACCAATCGGCGAATGGCATCGCCAAGGAGTCTGAGCCTCTGAGTGCGAAGAGCCAGGAGCAACAGCGCGCGAGGACGAGGAATCTTCCGAAAGTCGGAGTGGCGGAGGACATCGGATGTCAATGGAAGAAGCCCTCCGCCAAATCCGAGGCCCTCGCTGCCTCCGTGGGGAAGAGAGACGTGAAAGACGTCCCCGCGGCTGCGTCGAATCGTCTGGTCCGGCAGCAGCGCCAGTGGAAGACGGCCGTGAAGGTAATGTCGAGGATTTTGAGCAGCATCTCGCCCATCATCGCTCTGAGAAGGGCGCGCGATTGCTACGTGACATCGCTGGGCAGTGTGGCCAGCCACGTGAGCCACTCGACGGCCTGCGGAGTCACGTATGGAGCCGGGCACAGCTCTCTGGGCACCATCCCCGCGGCGTGGAGATCAGGCAGCAGCAGATTTCAGGATCAGGTCGTCGAGTCCGAGAGGTCTCTGAGTGCAGCGTTCAAGGCGTCGTTCAACGACGCCGCCACTCAAATGTCGGACGCCGCGAGAAGTCACCGACGAAGCTCCTCGGTGCCCGTTTTCCCCCCACTCGGTGGCTCCGGCTTGAGCGCAGCCGCTCGCACCCCAAGCTGGAGGTCGCCCTCAGGTCGCGCTCCCTCGGCCTCTTCGAGATTCGGGATGCAACCGATGGCCATTTACACGATCAAAGAGGCCTGATGACGCCGACGCCACCGCCGCCGCCGCCGACGACGATAGCGACGGTCGAGGACGAATGGAGTGATTCTCCTGGCGTTGGCTGGCTCATTCCTTCTGATCCCGCCTGCGCGTCGAGCCCAGGCAGGAGAAAGGCGGAGGATTTGTCGTCGTTCTCATCGCGCGCCGGAATTTGAGAATCGTACCATAATTGTAGCTGAGTCGCGTAGGTCGATTAACCGTGGAGTAGATTCTGTCATTCATTCATTCTCTTCTCCTTGTTCTCGTACTTCTTATCCCCGTGATTGTAAGTTCCCTCTTGCCTCGATCCGGTTCGATTCGATTCGATTCGCATTGAATCTTTACAGCGGCAGCGGATCACTTAGCAGATGCTGCAGCAGCAGGTGGGACGGAGTAAGCGGCTCCTAAACTCTCGATGACTGAGGCCACGGGTGAAGAGAGGTATGGACTCTGGAATGATACATGTGTACCCGCTCGGTGCGAGTGGGGCTCATCCAGGCACGAGCCAATTTCCAGAGAGAGGATCAGTCGAGACACTCGCCGACCAATTCTCGTTCTCCTTCCCCCGCATCGGTCATGAGCACATTTCGTGCATCTCAGAACTCGCTCCTCGAGTGCACTCCAGTTGAGAATTCAAGGCGCCCATTCAGAGCAGGAGCAGCGAGCTCGTCTTGAAAGCTCGCTGCTGAAGACTCGACAATCCAACAACGGTCGTGATGAGAAGTTTATTTATATGCTTAGAGGTTGAAGAGCAAGTAGCTTATTTTTCTTAAAATCGTCGAGCTGAATGTAGCTGGGGAAGAATTACGTGACGTGGTTGATTTAGACTTCAGCTAGAGAACGTGTGGAGTGATTCCCCGGAGATTTCTCGAATTTTTTTCTGTTCTTCCTGTTCGTGAATTTGAAGATTAGAATTCTTTCGTGAGTGAAATTTGATGAAAACATCAAGAAAGAGCAATCCCCTGCCGAGCTGTCACATGTACATAAGCAAAATGTAGCGAGTGAGTCCATCCGTGAGTCTAGGAAACCTCGTCTGCTGGCGAATGTCCCAGAGCCTGTTGTATAGTTTATATGGAAATCTGTGCTCGCCGGCTTCAAGCCGAAGAGTCCAGCCTCTATCCATATGATCCGAGCAGTTACGATTTTCCCACTCAATAAACCATAAGGCCAAATTTGGTCTGCATAATCTGGTTTGTCTTCTCTGCAACTTCTGATTTGCAGCTTATTCTTCTCTGCGAATCACTCCCTACAATTCTCTGTCAAGAATTATTCATTTAATGTAACCGGGAGTCCATCGTCCTAAACCTTTTGCAGTTGCTAGAATTGTCTGACGGAGCTGGAGCCAGTGTGTTAGATTCAAGAGTCCCTGATTATCCCGTCGCCAAATCTTAAATCAACTCCCCTCTGTCGACGGTAGAATCTATATAGGTCAGGCCTTGTTCCAATTTTGTTGCGATAGATAGGTTTTGACCGCCAAGCTAGAGCTAGTGTCGTAGTTTAAAGAATCTCTGCATGCCGACGATGAGCAGACAGTTTTGTGTCACGCATCAAAGCCTGTGTGGAAGTCCTGGACGCAATGCATCTCAGGTGGCTCAGAGCGACAGATCTGGAGGCCTTGATGTTCCAAGAGATGTACGTTTCAAGCGTCGCTTGATGTCGCTTGAACGGCATTTAAATGAGCAATTCATCTGTCCATGGCCAGCTGAATCAATGACATTTTAACGTCCACTGAATGGGCATGGCAGGCCGGCACCAACGCATGATAGTCGTTCAGCAACTTCAGTTCTTGCACTCTTCATGCACAATGTCTTCGCCGTTGAGTTGAATCGATCTAATCCCACAATGAGGATTGTTATTTTCCGTACCGAGGCCCCACAAATTAAGCCTTTTCCTTACCTCCTTTTTGCACAGGGCCAAAATTTGCGTATGTAACCAACAGGACTGCCGAACTACAGTCACGCACAAGTTTGCCAGTGTGCCTCCCCACAATCAGCTTCGCGCATGTGAAAGTACGCCGACATTGCACTTCGGTTCCAGTTCTAATGACGAGTTTGAAATGCTCTTTTGAAGCAGCAAAATCGTTAGCGGAAAGAGCCTGTGTAGTTTGGATTTAGGAACTTTTAGGTGTGTACGATCTGGGATCCACTCGAGTCCTCTAATACAAGAGAAATCTAGCACGAGCGTAGGTCTGTCCCACGTCAGCCCATGGCAGGATAACACTTCTCACAACTGTTTGCAAGTAAATGCCATCTTCCCGAGCAGCCGCAAGAGACTGCAATAGATACATCCTCAGTGCAAGGCGTAATTTCTTCAGCGTTTACTTCAGCGTGACATATTTCCTGCAGGTCACGCGCAAGTCAAGCTGTTGAAAGGTGAATTGAATTCTTGGAACGGCAGACTCTGTACTGTGTAACTAAGTAGAACGGAATTTACACCTTCATTGACAAGGGCTGTATAAGTATCCAGTCGTCATGGATAGATAGTGTACGCTCAGCGACCGAAATCAAGCTGCAAGGCGTGTGATGATTGGTACCGCGGTAGAAAGAAGAACGCTCTTGGGTACAGTGGGAGGACACATGAGTACTGCTCTTTGGCTTCCCGGAGAGCAGAGCAGTGACGAGGTGGTGGTGGTACAGGCAGTCGGTCGGTCGGACAGCAAATGATTGGAGTTGACATGTTTGGACCCGCGGTTCCAAAGCATGGGAAGGCAAAGCAAAGCAAAGCAAGCGAGAAAACAGTGAGACACAACATTGTCGGTAACTCTACATGTCCCTTGGGGCACTGGCGGTTGCACGATGTGTGGACTCTCTTGCCATCATGGCCAATCCGAACGAGGTTCTGGAAAGTGTAACCGGATGAGACGAGAGTCGAAGAAGGGTGTGAAAGTGTGTGTGAGAGATCGTCAGCTCAGCAGACTGGACAGAACTTCGAGTCATCATCATCATCGTCATCATCTCCGAGCTTTTTCTAGACCAGACCAAAAGAGGTTTTGCCAAACGAGAGAGATATTTCTGTCGACGATTGTCGTTCAGACAGTGAGTGAGTGACGGACTCCGAAAGCCAAGCCAAGTGTGCCACTACAGAACTCCCTTCCGACCTTCCGTCCTTGAAGCATGCGAGCTGCAACGAATTAGTTGCCTTCGCAAGTGCGCAGCAACTGCAGTTAGATTTGAGATCAAAGTAACTCGTGTCATAATAACTGAGGTCAACGAGCAGATCAGCTATCTCTCCATACCTCCGCCATGTGGATGGCGTACTTATCTTTGGAGGTTAAATTTGAGCCTGCAGGGCAGTGAGCGTCGAGGGAACTGTCAGAGAGAGCCTTTTTCCTCCAAGTTGCCCTTTTCCTGTCCTCTAACTGAATTAGGCCACAGATATTTTTCTCCAATCCCAATCGCTCCATTATTTCCTTGTCGAACCAGGGATGATTATTGATCCTTGTTTCGTCCCCTAAACCATCCAGCGAAACCACAAACCGCCGAGATCGTGTCGCCACTACACAGCAAAACAATCAATCGCCACCCAGACCCACCAAAGTTCTGAATTCCCCTCACCTAACTTCCAAAGGTGCATTTATTGTGCTCCACCTCACACTGCCACCAGGCAACCGACCATCGGAGTTTGTTTGTACCTTGTGTTACGGTTGAATGCCTTCGATCGTCGCATTCCATACCGTCCACCGATTAGAAAATGTTGGCATGGGAACCTCCTGTAGTAGTGATTTTCCGCTCGCACGGGCTAAAGACAAACTTACAGACCTCGTATTTTAGAGATGCGTGAATTGTCCAAACGAGTCAGAAACGAACGAGTCCGGCGACGAAGAATATAGTTCAGTTCTAACCATACGTGAGGGAAAAGTGGTCGTATTTGTCAATCCACATCCATGAATTGACGAAATTCATCGTTTGCACTATTCGCGCAGACACCTGAGCGAATCTGGTTGTAGATACTGTACTCGCGACCAGGAAGCCGAAGGGAGGGAATGAATTAATATATCATTAAAATATTTGGTGCTTTGAAGAGTTCATATGGAGGAACTCGCTCTCGACCATGTGCTTGCGGGCCCGGACTCAAGCACAGTTGTCGGAGATGACGACATAAGCATGTCACGAACTTTAAATCAGAATAAAATATTAGTTGCCCTCCTATTTCCTGCTGGGGAGAATGTCAGAATCTCGAGCTACCGTAAGGCAAGCCACACCCCCCCAATCGACGGCTACGACGCAGAAGGAGGAGCAAGAGTAAGCGAGCCCGTCTTTCAGGCGAAATTCGCCCCAGGCTATCCGGATCGTGATTGGGCTCGCGAGGACGGAATGTGTTGGGCGAAGTCGGGGCGCACATGCGCTTCCGTCATTCGTTCCGGGGAGTGAGTGAAGCTTTAAAGAGGATCCTCTAAGTGGAGTTCTTTTCAGCTTTTCATGTAAATTACCAGCATGATGTCAGAGGGTGGATCACGCGTTTTGCTTGGCTGAGCGTCTAGGTCATCCGAGGGACATACCTTTCAGCTCGCGCGCGATGCTTTTTTCTCGAATTCTTTTGAATCAATCCGGGCATAATTGCTGCTCGATGGACTGACGTCGTGCGCGGGTGACACCATCGATCGAATACTGGAGTACCGGGCCGACCAATTCGGAAAGCGTAGATCGTCGATGAAGCTTTTCGTCCACTTTCTCAGAGCAGATTCAATCTATCAGCAGCTTTCGGTTTTGTCAGAAGGCGGTGATACGCATTTTGGCTTCATACTGCTCGCCACCACAACTTTTTCCCCTGATTCGAAAGTGCAGCTTCTATTGGCGGGTCAGTCGCGGTGTTTCAAGTTCCTAGATTGCGATCTAATTCCTCGTAACTTGTGGATTGACCATGCTCTACTGGCCTACCAGCTGCTCTGCTGCCACGATCTCATAGGTGCGCTCAATCTGCTCTGCTTGCAATAATTTAGGCTGTCAAACACGAACAATTCTTTCGTGCTTTCATTTCACGTCTCCATAAATAAAAGCTTCTTCTCGGCCAACCTATCCAACACTTTTCTTCTCCGCTAAGGAAATGAGTCTAGTAGGTGCCGAAGCGAAGGCGGTCTGCAGTTCCATAGTCAGTTCATTGCGACCCCGAGAAGAAGACGAGACGAGAAGTTTTACCGCATAGACACGCGAGGAGCATCTGATCAGTGAAGCGAACATTTGAGCGGAACAGACCTTCTAGTGTACACGAGATCGTTGTGCAGATTTGGAATTTATCTGTGTGCTAGTTTACTACGACCTTCACGAGGCTATTTTCTACAAATTAGGTCTTCGCTCTCGAGCCCCACAGAAGCAGCACTCTCGCCGTCAGCAGCAGCAGATCGACTTACGACTGCTGCTCCTATCGTGTACAGACTATTCTGTCTGGATGTAAGCAAAATTAGGCGTCCCAGAGATCTGAAGGCTCTGGGTCCTTCTGCATGTTCAACAGACTATCGTTTGCAACAAGTGGGGCCCTTGACCTGTAATGCCTCAACCATGAAATTTGAATCAGTGATGGCATCAGATAGTAGAGTCCCTTTCCGGTCGCACTTTCATATTGCATACGTTAACTAGTTACACAAAACAGTCACTGACCTGCTTCAACCGCATCTTCGAAATCTGCTGAGAATATAACAGGAATGATGGGAGGCATATTGAATAGAATTCTCACAGAAAGCAAGAGGATAATGTGGATATCTTACTTGCGTCGGGAGTCTCGCTGATCACGATGAGGCCTCGCTGCTGACGTCTTATGCCGAATGTGGACTTTTGATCATATTAGCTTTACGCATGGCTTCGATTTCTGTGAAAGCCACGGTTGCACGTCACGAGGGACTCTTCAATTTCTTCCGTAAAACGAGGAGGGATGATTGCCAGTGTGTGGTCGTTGTCAGAGCTTCAAGTAGTCTAGCAACTTGCTTTCGCAGTGAATGGTGAGTACTCCTTCCCTCACTACACTCTCCTCTATGGCCAGTTTGCCAGGGTACCATGTTCTTCTGATCGTCGAGTTTGAAGGTGAATGACACACATCCATCATTTATGTGCACGCGTCATTGCCTTCGAGGTCTTAGCGCTGCTCTCGTGGGACTGGGGATGTTATTGTTGTGCAGGCAGGGGCTGCATCTCGAGTTGAAAAGTCGTGCTCTCGCATATGGGAAAACTCTCATATGCGAAACACT